ATCTAAGAATTTAGCGTTATTAGAAAAGGCAATTAAAGAAAAACTAGAAGTGGAAAAACTATAGGTATCAAATAAAGAAGCGCAAAGATTAACTAACGATAATAAATCAGAGTCTAGAACAAATTTTAAGTATTGTAGTAACTGTCGGAAAACAAATAACAATACTCACCAGTGTCGTTTTGCAAAAGAGGGTGGACGAGTTGAAGATACAGGACAGAAAATAAGATATAACAAATAAGTAAATGTCAAGAAAATATCGTACACTTATTGTAAAGCAAACGGACCTACCAGGGAAGAATGTTATAAGAAAAAAAGAGCAGATACTCATCAGAACATGTCTCAACAATACTCACCGGGAAATGGGTAGACGTCGAACGACAATGGTGAGCGTTCTACCAAATAAATCAAAGCAATAGCCCAAATATAAAAAGATCATTGCCATTCATAATTAAATTAGAGGATAATCACGTAATCTTAACAAGTCAACAATGTGTAACTAGTAATATGCGATTACTTGCGAGTACTGGAGTGGACCTGATCGAAGTTTTGCAATCACTAAACAGGGTGTCACAATTATGATGATTTTACATGTGAGCTACGTAGAAAATTACAAAAGTCTCATTTCATAGCACGTGACAAACTTATATCAAAGAAACTAAATTCAACAAGCCACTATGACAAAAAACAGCGAGTACTTAGCCTTAATATTGGTGACAGAGTTTTATTAAAAGAACAACAGCAACTGAGAAAACTTCAACCCAAGTGGCTGGGTCCCTTCAAAATCACATACATACATAGCAAAGAGAATGTATTCTTAAAGTGTGAATGAAAAGAAGTACGTGTTCATTTAAACGAACTAAAGTTGTTTTACACATCTTAGTTTGACAATATATTTTAATTATAGTATTGTAAATAATATCTAACCAAATAATTCTAAATTAAGTAATTAAAAAAAAAAAAAAACAACGTCAAAATATGATAAAAGAATATTTGTTGTAGACAATTGATTTTCGTGCTACTGACAAACGCACAATATTCGAACAGACCAATTCAACAAACATCAGGAATTTATTTTCAAATAATCAGTAACCTACAAATTTTCATTTTGCACTGGAATCTATTGTCTTATGTAAACATAACTATTTTGTAAAGAAATCCAAGGTAAAATTCGTAATCAATCGAATAATTTTGTGAATTAGTGGAAATCATCAACTCTAATTTCACAGAACACAATTGCATTCTATTTAAACAGCAAATTTCTGAATTTTTAGACGAAATCAACAACAACATAGAAAATATATTCAAAATGTTAAATCAGTCTTATACACAGCCCTTGCAATCTAAGAGGAGATTAATAAAGATAGTTGAACGAGCTGCTAACAATTTATTTAGTGATGTGATGACACCGTTATTGAATATTTTTACAAGGAAATCAGTAAACTTGAACGCTCAAGAAACCAAGTAATACATCTTACAGGAACATAAACCAATATAATGCAATACATTGTTTTAAACGTAAATTCTTCACTTATCAATCTAGAACAATCGAAAATCATCTTAGAAGTAAAATATAATTACTTATTTCTAAAAATAAATACTACTATTCGAGAAATGAGAATCCTGCAATTTAAAACAGAGTTGACAGAAAGAATTATGTTGCTAAATCAATTAATTTATCAGTATGCTTATGAAACCCAAAATTTGATAAACATTATTAACTCCACAATACAAGGATTATTACACCCTGTTATCATGAATATAAAATCGTTGATAAAACAAATAAAAATAATAAAATCTCATTTACCTCTAGACGTAATCATTCCTAATAGTTGTGTTGCGGTCGGTATTTTGCCGCACTCGCGGGATGTTATAATGTGAAGAAAGGAAAGAAAACGAAACCCTTTGATGGTTCGAAACAAAATGTAGGAATATTTATTGGTGTTCGAACAAAACTGTTTATTGCCCTGGAAGGCGTAATGTCAAACAGACTACAATAAAACTAAAGATGACAAATATATATTCATAAGTATATACAAAAGGCACAAAAGTTCATAACTGAGTGTTCGGCACAGTAGAGTTGACGGCGAGCGATCAAAACGATACGATGTCACGGAGATGACTTAACGTATATTTGCGGCGGGTCGTAGATGTACGTGCGGCACTTTCTGGACTTTGTACCGTGGCGTATCGCACGCGGTGTTAGTCAGTCAAACTACCATATGCACGTAGTAGGGCGGCGGTTGATAAAGGTGTCAAGGGTCGCGGGGCTCCGTGTATAGAGAACAACGCGGGACCGTGTCAGTTGGTTAGTATCTGGAGTATCAGAACTATTACACTTGATAATATAAATATTGTATATATTCAAAATACCTTAATTTTTTAGTAGAAAATTCCTTTAGCTTATAAGTATGAATTCACTTTCTATAAACCAATCGCATTACCGACAAAAACTCACGATAATATATTTGTTGTAATGGTTTATCAGATGAATTAAATAGCAATAGAAAAATCTAGATCATGTAAATATACAGGGTGTTCAGTAAGTCAGGAAACGGGTTTCTATTGTTCTCATTGTTTGTAACAATGAGAACAATAGAAACCCGTTTCCTGACTTACTGAACACCCTGTATAGCTAAAACAATATTATGTCCTTATGACCAACCTTTTTTTAGTATAGATAATTCATGTCATGCAAGATAGTTTAGATAACTATATGTTTTACTTAAATATTGTATTTTAAAGTATATAAAGATTAATTATAAGATATGACATAAATTAGAACACATAAAATTCGTGGTTATACGTAGTTAGTATGGGTAATATAGGCATTAAGTGCAAACAAATTGTTCAACCAGTAACGTTAAGTATATTGGGAACGAGTACTTTAAATTTAAAAAATAACTGTGAGACTAACACTGATGACGAAACAATTTTAAAACCTTTAAATAATATTACTTCAAAAATATATAAAGAATTTAGTCCAACTTTTAATTTAAGCATGAATTCTGATATACAAATTAAACTGAAAAAACTAAGATCAGAGGATATTATTAATTTAAATGATAACGTAAAAACATAAAAACTTTATATATGCTACTAGACTTCGTGGTGAAAACAGGCATTAAAGTTTATTTTTTAATATTCTCTGTATTTGTTTATTTACAATCTATACAATGCTTACAATAAGTAAATTTATTAAAGCAATTGAATACATGAATAGGATAAATGGGTAGCTCATATTAGAACCCCCTCTAAATAAAAGTAAAGTGTTTACATCGTTAGTTGAAATTATTTAAATTTAGTTTTTTTTATGTTTTATATCCATTTAGTTGCTTGGTAAAATAAGTCTCTACATCAGGTGCGTTTAAGACGTGGGTTTGGGTTTATTCGGATGTGATTTGGTGATAAGTTTGGCTATTATATTATTAATATGATTTAATAGTTTACAATGGTATCTGAAGGAGAATAGTGTTGTAGATTCACTTAGAGTCTTAATATATAGTTCACTGTGAAGTCAATTATTAGTTATAAACCAAGGAGTACTAGTAATAATGCAAAGATATTGATTTCATTGATTGAAATGCTTGTATGATTTTTGTATTTGATAGTTTTACTGATTCCCAAAATAAAATACTGTAAGACCACATTGTTTGGAGCAAACTCTTGTATAAGATGAGTTGGTCTGATATATAAAGATTAGAGAAAAGTAAGGGTCTTAATACGTGTAGCCGATTATTCGGCAGTTTCTGTTTAGATTTGAGGTGAGAGCTTCACGTTAATATACAGACAATAATTAAACCAAGGTATTTTATTTCTTATTGATGAGGAATTACTGTGCTCTTTAAATGTGATTTAAGGACAGTTAATAGGTTGCAAGGAGATGGTAACATGATTAGATTTAGTCTCATTAACTTTGATTTTACAGTTTTTAAACTATTTGGAAAGAGTATCTAAGTGGGATTGTACATATTGAATTGCCAGTGCTGTATCAGTATGAGTAGGTAGTATAGCTATATCGTCTGCGTAAGTACTAATTAATGTATTTGAAGTAGTCGGTATATCCACAGTGTAAAGAATATAAAATAATAGCGCTCTAACACTATCTTGTAGAACGCAAGGCTGTGTATAGCATGAATTTGACAGTGTGTCACCTAATTTTACTTTAAATGATCTTTTTTCTAGGTAAGATCGAATAAGTAGATAATAAGGTATAGGAAGACATTTTTTAACCTTAAACAAATGATTAATTATTGTCTTAGAAGTATTTTAATGCACAGAGTAGGTCTGTAGTATAGATACAGCTGATNGACATTTTTTAACCTTAAACAAATGATTAATTATTGTCTTAGAAGTATTTTAATGCACAGAGTAGGTCTGTAGTATAGATACATCTGATCATGGTATACATGGTATACATGTCTATTCCAACCGCATTAAATATCTCCATTCTATGTATTCAAATGACTGTAAAAAAACAATATTTGTTATAATACATAGAATAAGAATTAACGTTACACATCTCCAATCCACGTATTAAAATACTTGTTACTATTCATTTTAAAATAACTAAATTGCTAGAATCCNATACTTGTTACTATTCATTTTAAAATAATTAAATTGCTAGAATCCAGCTATTTTGCAATTATGAAAACAAAATTATTAAAAACAAAAATAAAATTATGATTTTAAGTTATAAATAAACTGATAATATCGTGTAATGTTTTTTTATTTTTTTTTTTTTGATACCTTTTAATGCTTGCAATATAATAGTTTGATAATTATATTTTATTGCATTGATTGTTTTTTTAAGAGCATTTTATTGAAATACTACAATTATTTTTAAGGATATATAGGTATCGGTTCTGAGATAGTGAGACACAAGGGAACAGCGAATATTAATTGAATTTCAATTTATAAGAGTTATCTTTTAAATCTGTTTCCACACGTATACAAAAATACATGTATACAAATACTAGATAAAAAAATTAAATCTCAAATACCTCCTAAATTGAAGTCCTCAGCGTTTCTTTCAATATTGGTACCATTTAAATTGTTTAAAATTTCATTCGCTTTGAAAGCACTAATTTTACCATTTTTATTAACATGTTCCTCAAAATTAACAAGAAGCACTTGCATGTTTTGGGATAATTTTCCTAAAAAATTCAATGTTGAGCTTTTATTGGTTTAAGAGAATTATTAAAATTAATTAATAAATATTTATAAAAATTAAAAATCAAATTAAGGTATGTATGTAACTTTAAAATTAAATGTATTTTTTTTCAATAGTGTAGTATTATATTATATATTTAATAGTAATTATTTTTGCGTTTTTTAAGTACATATCTTAATCTTAAGGTCTTGGGTTCGAGTCCCACGTTTGGCGCCAATTTATGTCGTACGTCGATTATACCCCGACATAACACAATAGTACTACATAATTAACTAATATTGTGCATATACTAATATATGATGCATTAATATCAGCAATAATTTTGAAAAGTAAATATCTATAAAAATACTGCTTTCAAAGTTGTTATTGACCTGCGATTTTCTATAAAATAAACTTAAAATATACATAATATTTAAAAAAAAATTGTATATTGAATAATTAAATTAAAAATTTTTTTTTTATAATATGTGTAACACCTTACCTCATTTGAGACATTTAACATTTCGCGTAGTAAACTTTTTAATGGTCCATCATTCTACAAAAGATTTAAGATTGTTATTAATATGACTACTTTAAAAATTGATAGATATTCAAAACTGTAATTAATTTTATATCAAACATTTATATAATACGTAAGTTAAATATTTCAGTACAATTTTTACACAAATTTATTAGATATATATTACATTTATATAGACGACATTAAAGAATTTCGATTAAATAGAAGAATAATTNATTTATATAGACGATATTAACGAATTTCGATTAAATAGGAGAATAACGGAGTTTTAAAAATTTTTCAAAACTTCTTCACTAATTTACTTTTTACTTCTAAAAGTTTCTTAAAAGTAAAAGTATTAATAATTAAGTAATGCAGTAAGTAAAATTTAGACCATTATCAGCATTAATAATAATGTTTATTTTCCTTCACGTGAAAATTAATTTTTTGGAGGAAGATATTTTGATATGTAAATATAAAATAATTTCATTTTCAATTAACTAACCAAATGATTTTAAACACAACGCTAATTGAAAAATTGAAAAAATTTCCGTCGTTTTTCGTAAATGGGGGAAACCTCCAAAAAAATTACAAATTTAAAAATCGCTAATTTTTGAAATTTTTTCAATTAAAACTGATATAACTTTTTCAAAAATTAACAAATCAATATTACTTTTTTTTTAGATGCTTTATGTCTTTATCTATCACTTGGTATTTTTATTTTAAATATTTCATATTTTTTTTTATAAATTTGACCCTTTAACTGCCCACAGGGGGAATTCAAAATGACAACTTTTTCACAAAAAATTAACTTTTTCAACTTAACTTTTGAAAGTGTTCCAGAAAGTCTGACCCTTATATATATATCATATATTAAAGCTAATGTAATGTACATTATTATGGGAAACCAATTTCGGACTTTATTTTGTCTTCACGTTGAAAGCAGACATCAAAGTTAATAAAAAATAATACGATTTTTGTAAAAAAAATTCTTAAAAAAACTTTATAATGCTATAACATTTTGAAAAATGTATGAATCAATATAATTTAAATAATATTTATATCAATTTTTCATTTGAAATACTTTATATTAATCAGGATATAAATAACGAAATATCATATTATATAGCTTTTGGAATAATCGACCAATTGTTTAAAATTAAACACTATCTAAGGATTTTCATCGAAGAGTTTTTTTAATTTTAGTTCTTTATCTTTAATACTGTCATTAGTACATTTATAATTTTATGCCATACACAATATTTTCAATAATACAAAAAATTGACTAATTATTTTTCGACAAAGTATAGGTTATTTTATGCTTCATTTTCTATTTTTAAATTATTTTTAATTCCTTAAATCCATATAATCACAAAATTTTATTAATGAATCATACAAAATTAACTTTTACATAATGTGTAAGTTAAATAATACCAGTGAAGAAATTAAATTTAAACAATTTTTTCTTATAATATCTGTAACTCTCACCTCATCTGAAGAATCAGATGTATCAATTTCTATATCTTTTGCTGGTCCATCATTCTAAAAAACATTTATTTTATTTGTTAATATGATTATATTAAAAATATGATATATATTTAAAAATATAATTTATTGAATATCAATCATATCATATTTAACAATTTAAAATTGTATGCTGAGTCAGAGTTGTATTTAAGACTTTACTGATCTATTTATCACTTGATTCATATGAACTTTTATAAAATATATAATTAAATAATTTTATTATATTATAATTTTACGTTTTATAATTATCAATGTTTATTATATAATAATCATTTATATTATTTTATAAACATATGTGTATAAAGGAATGTACTTAAGCCACTAAATAATAGTAAGAATTGTATAACAAAAAAATAATAATAATTATTATAAATACTTGATTTGACTCCTTGTTACTAGTTTCTTCATCAGAGATGGGCATTCCTGTTAAAAATATGGGTAAGATCATTACACACATAAAACAAAGGAATATTCTAGAACAAAAATAGAATTCCATTTTTAATAATAATTATAATTGTAATAATAATGAAAGTCACATACAATATAATTTCAATAATATCAGGTTAACGTTATAAATTATTTTTATTATAAAATTAATTTTTTATTTATAAAACGATTTATTGCATTTAAAATATCTAAAATATGGTAGAAAAAAATTTATTTTCAAAAAATATATAAATAATGTGTTACCATTTTAAATAACACTTGTTTGAATCAAATTTATTTAACATAATAAATGAGTTATACATTTATAAAAATTATTCATAAAGTATTGCATGATATTTTTATGTATTTCTTTTCAAATGAAAAAAATATAGAATAGAAATGTCATTTGTTTTAAAAAAATGCAGATTATTAATACAAATATTAATTTTAAACTCAATCAAGTGAGTTATTTATTACTAAAATGTTTTCCAAATTTTATTAATAGTGTATGATAGAAAATTTGCGTTATAAATAAGAATATTTTTTTGGATTTAAAAAATGTTCGCTATTTTCAGTTTTTTAATGGAGATATTTTTGAATATTGAATAATTGATTAATATCAAACAATGAGAAATTTTTCAAATTTAGTCTTAATGAATAAATGAATAAAAAAAAATGTAAAGCATGATTTGCGATTATTTACTTTTTATCTTAATAGTGTAGGATTGCAAGTTAATAAGATTACGAGGGCATCCAAGTAAATATAATGTTTTAAAACCCAACCGTATGTCTATATGGTAACACCCTAAGAACAACCCCACCCAAACTAAAAACTAAAAAATGTTATTATTCATTAATTAAAAAATATATATTTTTAAAATTATTAATTTTTTACAAATTATCAAAACAAACTATATTTTATATTTTATTTCATTTTTTATGATTTATTTCAACTAATACTAGTTCAATGCTATAATATTCAACCTAATAAGTTAAGTAATTTATATTCAAGTTAGTATAAACATTTTAAAAGGTTTTAATGAATTATGTGTTTAAATTATATTATATATAATATTTGAATATTAATATATTATATTGGCACAAGAATATCATAATCAAAGTTTAAGTAAACATAAATATTCTCTGAAGTGTCTCTCCATTTTTTGAACAGCCAGTCTGATCTCAGCCTTTTTTCCGTAAGGGAATAGCGTGGGTAATAGGATTATAGGACTTTAGTATAATCTATTGTGCAAAAAACTTAAATTTGAACTAGCATCTACTATAGATTGCTCTGTGGACAACTAAAAACACGTAGGCCACTTGAAAATAGTTTTCTTGCACAGGATAGTAATGTTATTTATTAATTTCACAAATATTTAAATTACAATTGCGTTAGTATACAACATTACATACAAGACCAAATAGCATACCACATAAATATACAAAAAAGGTTTACATAAAACGCCAAAAGAATAATAAATTGGATTTTTACCTATATTAGATTTAATGTAGAGTTGTACTAAAGAAATAGTTACACGCGAGTTAATATAATAATAAAACTTATTTATCACTAAAACAGCCTATCTCTCTTTTTTTGTTAGTAATCACCATTTAAACTACTTGCCACGCCACCCTTTTTTTGTTTATTATACATTAAATATATGGAAATGGTATGATTTAAAAAATAAACATTTGCGGAAGATTTTTAAAAATTAAGTTGAGAAAGTTAATTTTTTGTGGAAAATTTATCATTTTGAATACTTCTCTGTGAGCAGGTAAATAGTCAGCTTTCAAAAAAAAAAAAAATATTATATGTTAATATCAAATAAATACACGCACTTAAGCTAATTTATACTAACAAATAGGAAGTACAATCTTTGCTGTACCATTACAACGAGCTTAAGCGGTCAAGTACTCAATTCTAAAATGGTTTTAATTTTGTCAGGGATAAAACCAAATTTGAACGACAACTATTACGTGTTTGTCACAATGATCTGTCATCTCTTACAGCTCAAGATGAATCAAATCTACGTATATATTATGAAAATGGTGTTCCATCAGTGGTCAAATCAATTCCAAAAAACCGGGTCCGTAGAAGCAATACCAGTCGACAACCAGTGATTCAGCAAATTTCTCAACTTACATAGTTAAGCCATGTACACTAGGTTTGCACCAGCATGTATATTTTTATTATAAATGTTCTTTTTGTGTAATTGCCAAGTCCACTCTTAGTACTTTTATATTAGATTTCAAAAGTTTTAAAATTAATAAGTCTTGTCCTCACGATTTACCTACAATTAGCTATATTTCGTCGAATGATAATATGTCTTCTTCTTCAGCTTTTACAGTCCTTGAAGGACTTTTGCTGCCTCTACTACATTCCTCCACCTATCTCTATCAACACTGTCTGCTATTGTCACTTCCTGGTTGCATTTGTTAAGATCATCATTGACCCTGTCTATCCAGCGCTGTTTTGGGCGCCCCCTAGGTCTTTTTCCATTTATTTTTCCCTCTAACGATTTCTTTAAAATCCCATTTGACCTCCATACATGCCCTGCCCACTCAATTCGTTTGCTCATGAGGAAAGCGTTAATACCAGGTTTTCGATAAATTTGTTGTATTTCTCTATTAGTTCTTCTTCTGTACACTTCATTTTCTAAAATAGGTCCATATATCCTTCTGAGTACTTTTCTTTCAAAACAAGCCATTTTTTCCTCATCTCCTTTAGTTGTTGACCATGTTTCACACGCATATGTTATCACTGCCCGTAGGAAACTTGAGTATAGTTGTTCCTTTGATCGTCTAGAAAGAAGTTTTGATTTCTACAATTTTTCTAAAGCATAGTAACCCTTATTAGCGGCAGATATCCTTATTTTAATTTCGTTGTGCATATTATTTTGTTGGTTTATGTTTACCCCAAGATATTTAAAATCACTCACTTGTTGAAAAGTATAGTTTTCAACTACTTGGTGAGAGTTGTCCCTTGTTCCTCTCGTCATGACTATATATTTTGTTTTGCCCTGGTTTACTTCCAGGCCCATTGGCTTTGCTGCTTTAATTAAATCATTTGTTCTTGTCGCTACCTCTTGTCGGGTATTTCCTATAATAACTATGTCGTCTGCATAGGCAAGGAGCGTACTTTTGAACAGAATCTCCATGCCTTGACTCATTGGCATTGACCTGACCACCTTTTCAAGTGCCAAATTAAAAAGGACTGGCGATAGTGCATCACTCTGTTTAAGGCCAGTTTTAACTTCAAAGCTCTCCGATAAACCGTTGCCAAACTTTACCTTGCACAAGGTATGTGTGTAGCATTCTCTTATCAGATGGATAAGTTTTTTGGGGATTCCAAATTCCTCTAGTGCCATCCACAGTTTCTCTCGATTAATACTGTCGTATTTTAGACAGGCTGAAATCCATAAACGTCCGATTTTGGAATATGGGACAATAATTTGGAATCCCTATCAGCTTAATCAAATCAACCGTCTAAATAATGTACAATCATATTTCTTGAGATATTTATCTTACAAATGTTTAATGAATTGTTCTACAAAGGAAATTGCAATGAGGCTAGGTCTGCATTCACTCTCCTGCAGGCGTAAATTTAATGATGTGTCTTTTATTCACAAAATTTTAAATAATAATATTAATTGTCCCGAAATGCTCAAAAAAATTAGTTTATCAATTCCAACTTGTAATACAAGATCAAAAACTGTTTTTTATGAGTCGTTCCACTGTCAGTCATATAGTTTTAATCAACCTAAAAGTCGTATGCTCCGTGTTTGCAACAGCCTCGATAGCTTCGACTTCAACTTTGATTCTGAGTCTAAACTTCGTAATTTGTGTTTGGGTTTTGATACATAATTATATTTTATATTATAGTTAATTTTATTTTATAATGTATTACCTTTATATCTATTAGTATAATTGTATCGATGTATTTAAAAATCTATTTTATATTACTTATTTTAAATGTTAAGATTATTATAAATTAAACTTTTGTATACTCTCATGCCTTCGGGCGTTAATAAATAAACAAACAAAATATAACACATGTGGATATCCTTTCCAAATTCATAAAATTTTTCCATTATTTGCCTTATAGTTAATATATGGTCAGAGGTGGACTTTCTTCTTATAAATCCAGTTTGATAGTCTCCAATTATATCTTTGGAGTATACTTCCAACCTTCGTAGTATCGCCAGGGATAGAATTTTGTAGCAGGAGTCTAGTAGTGCGTTTCCCCTATAATTACCTGTGTCCATGGGATCACCCTTCTTGAAAATGGGACAAATGATGGCTGTTTTCCAATCTTCAGGTATACGATTGGTATTCCATATTTCTTTTAAAAGTCCATGTATTTTATTTACAAGTTGTTTAGTACCGATCTTTAATAACTCAGAATTAATATTATCCTCTCCGGGGGTTTTGTTGTTTTTTAAAATACCGATAAGATCCTCGACTTCTTTATGACTTGGTTCCTCAAGGAGAGGTTGTCCCATATGATGTATATTTTTCTCCTAACTCTCCTATTCAATCCTACGATACTTACTTTAGCCAGTTGAAATTCTAGTTTGTTGTTATAGCACCCATAGTTTTATTCTTTGTGGTGACTTTAACTTACCTAATATTAATTGGTCTAATAATAATTTAGATATTTTGTATTCGATGGCTACCGAAAACAAAACTCATCCTATTCCTGAGACATTTGCTTTCTTACACTTTTATCAAGTTATTAATGTTTTCAACGTGTACAATTCAATGTTAGATTTTATATTTACAAATAAGAATCTCTTTAAAGTTTATATGGTGCACGATCCAATAGTTCCTGAAGATCGATATCATCCTGCATTAGCTATTGATTATCCAACAATTAAATAAACTCCACAAGGTAGAGTGAAACGACGTAGTACCTGCCACGATATAGAAAGAGTGGGAATTTTATAGGGCAAATTTATCATCCATTTAAAACATAACAATACCAAGGCTTATCATCGACTGTGAAAACGTCGTCGAAATCCAAGTACACGGTTTTGCTGACACCTCAGTGTGTGCGTATGGAGCATGTTTATACCTTTTGAGCAACCAACTGTATGAGTGACACGTTTAATACCAGCCAAATATCGGATGGCTTCACTAAAAATAATATCATTAGCTCGCTTCGAATTATGTGCCGCAGTGTTA